TAAGTAATAGGCTATTTAACTCAATTATTATTATTAGTCGATTGAATCTTATCAATAGAGATTAACATTTTTCCAATTATCATTTCAGTTAGAGACAAAAATCTCCAAACTAAAGTCTACTGATAATGTAACAAATATTGATGTTTTAAAATATTTAAAACAAATACATTTGGAAGCAAAACATCAATTACAATTAATTCAAAGTCAATTAATACCAATAATTGATAAAAATCATCCATACAAATCAACAATGATCCATGAAACTATGACAACAATAACTAATAATATTGGAATACCATATCCTCCACCGTTACCAAATTTTACTACTACAGGTCATCATATAAAAACACATTCAGCAATAATAACTACCACTAACAACAGTACAGCCAAACGAAATATGTCAATAGTAGAAGGAGGAGGAAGAATTGAAAGAAATAACAATGATTTAATTCCTCGAAGTAGATCATGCAATCTGTTTCTAAGGAATAATAATAATAATAATAATAATAATAATAATAATAATAATAATAATAATATCAATAATAATGGTAATAATATAAACAATAAACTTCTTGAATTGCCTAAAATTAAAGAGAAAATATCAGAAAACAATATTATGTATCATTCTAGAAACAATTCTAATATTCCTGATGGTATAGACATGAAAGTTTAGTCTATATATATATATATATATACATATATCTAATGACATTCTTCTCAATGATAGGTAAAAGTGTAACAATATCACCATGGAGTTCTCCCCCCTCCGCCTTTTTATATTGGTAACATATAATACTTTGGAGAAATAAAGACCTATAAACGAAGAATATTCTTTTTTATTTTTGATAAATTCTCCTCACGTTCTACAATTCATATTGTTTATATTTAATAATCCAAGAAAACTTGTCAGGTTTAAGGGCGCTTCGTCCTAGTATGGGACTCTTCAGGAGTGCATATCCACGATCCTATCTGCTGAACTCGAAACACAGAACCTATCGGTATCACACGCGAACGCTTAACATCTAGACCACTGAGATGGCCGGCATCCAACGATGTTAATGTCTAACTTCAACCAATTCACGAAATTAAGTGATACTTCTACCATTGCCTTCAGTGAGTTACTATCTCACAACAGACCTAGTTGAACTCCACTAGTCACTGATTCTCACTAGAACTCCAGGAAATACATCTTGGTGATCGTCACTACTGAGCATATGATGACTATAATGAGAGTTTTATATCCCGATGAGGATAAGGAATGATAACTTTTGGAATCCATTTATGGATCAAAACCATACAAGTTGTTTAGGCAGATGAAACATGCTTAAACACTTCATTCGATGAACATTTACAACTTCATCAGTCAATAAGAAAATAAAAATAACTTATTGTTTTCATTTCTATTAAATTTTTTTGTCATCAAGATGACGGCTAACAATTCAATCGAAACAAGATGCTTCATGCATCCTCAATATTAGTCCACTGAAAACTATAGACAGTTGTTTATAGTAGAATATCTGTCATCTTAAATAATAGGGATTCAATCCGATCACCCTTTATAACGATGATATCAAGCTATTTTGTGTTGAATCTGGAAGCATAGATACCTTTTCTAATCGAAATACCTCTTTAATTTTGTGAGAACCCGTCACTCACTCTATTGTAGAAAGCAGTTGGAAATATTCAAGACGATTGCGTCTGGCTGCTGATAACATTGTGTAAGTGAGATAGGCAGATCTAATCTCTGTATAACAAAAGCACTATGTTTTGCAATACTTTACTTCTATAATTTAAATACTTTTAATATCGCTTAAAGTTCGATCATGATTGAATTTTGGGGACTGTTGCGCAACTCCAGAAGTACCACGAACTTAATGTACGGTTATGAAAACGTCTGTCCAAATACAGTAGACTAAAAGCCGGTATAGATAAAGTGCTTGTGACATCGTGGTAGTTTACACGTCAAGTATTGTTACCAGACAATGAGAAGGGTTAGAAACATGATATTGATTTATCTATGACATGGAATCATGAAATAGCTGATTATGTTTGGGTGAGAACTATTGGTTTATCATGCATGTGTCACTTACTAAGCCGAGGTAGTGACAACTGCCTTTAAGTAAAACAAAGTAGGCTATTAATTTTAACAAATTAACGCTCATTATTTTCACGTAGTTTAGAAATACAACCTTATTAATGGAACAATATTTTTTCATTGTTTATCTGAAAACATAAATATTGGTACAAGGAAGCACCATATATGTACGCGCCACACAATTCACTTGATTTGTGTGTGGGGTGTGATACTGCCCGGGTGCCCGAACCGAAGCAGGTGGTCTTCTCAGGGGGCCACACCCGGAGCCCTCGACCAGAAGGTCTGATCCACAATGCAGTGGAGCAACGTCAGATGCAGTCACATGGTAGCCGGTGACCAACGATTGGTTCATACGACATTTGTTCCTTCAGGATACTGGAGCCCATGTGTACCATAGGTTTGGCATCAGGGTTCTCCAACTGCACTAGATGGGTCTTCCATAGCTACCAGCCCAGTTAAAGCACTGGAACAATATAAATATGGACAGTGAAGACCTATTATTTTCACAGTAGTAATGTAGATTTTAGAATATTAGGAAAGTGAAGATATGTGGTAAATATATTATAGTAAGTAAGAAGTTCACCACCAAGATAGAAAGAAGATTAAAATAGTTTGAGAAGCTTCACTAAATACCTTTCAACTATGAAAATTGTATATGGGTAATTATGGAATTTAAAAGCTGATGAGAAGCGATTCAAGTGACCAATACTTTGAGAAAATATGAAACCTTAAAAACCTATCGTTCTTGTAAAAGAATCAACAATGATGTCATTAAGTCAAGTCGATAAAAGAGGTATTACTTAAATGAATATAAAATTCTCGAAACCAGATAGGCATCACTCATAGACATGTCTGATTGACAGAACCAAACTAATTCGCTAATCTTTCTATAACCAATACTAAGTTTATCATCCTAACAACGATCAAAGAAATCAATAGAGCTGTTAAACAAATCAAGAGTGGGAAAGTAGCAGGATCAGATAACATATCAGCTAAAGCACCGAGGTCAGACATAGACGACTGCAAAAGATGATCCATGTTCTATTCAGAAAGGTTTGGAAGGAAGAGCGAATGCCGACAGATTAGAAAAGAGGACACTTCATGAAGATACCAAAGAAAGATCTCAGCAATTGTAAGAACCACAGAGGCACCACACTACTATCAGCAAAGCAAGGGTAGAATTCCTACGATCGAAGAATATATGGAACTTAAAACAATTGTCAGTCGAACAACATCCAATTTAGAATTCTCAATACGGAAGTGAAAACAGTCCTGGTGTACGGAGATGAAACGTGGAAAACTACTATAATCATCAAAATAGTACAAGTATTTATAAACAATTGTCTACGCAATATACGTCAGATCTGTTGACCAGTTACCATCAGCTACAACCTAATGTGTGAAAGAATCAGCTTCCAGTGGAAGAGGAAGTCAAGAAATGACACTGGAAATGGACAGAACACACTGGGGAAATGATCAAACTGCACCACGAGGCAATCCCTAACTTGAAATTCTGAAGGGAAATGGGAAAGAGGAAGACCAAATAGCACAATGCGTCGAGAATGTGAAGCAGACACTAAAAAAATGAATAGCACTTGGAAGCAACTGAAAAGGAGAACCCAGGACAGAGTTCGAATTGCTTTCCCTAACATTCAATCAATCCCAATCACCACACTGATCCACGGGTTGATCATACAATTCGTCCGAATCTACCTAGATTTCTTCGTATGCAACTCCTTAAAACAGCAGAAGCTCTTGTCACTCATGGTAAAGCCAGAACTGAGTACAGAAGATATGCGTCTTATCCTTATCTTTGATATAGTCTATTTTTCTCGTATTCGAAAACACCCTCCTATCTATTTAACTATTTCTTATATCCCCATGATTTTATTCATAATTGTTCCTGATATAACTTCACTTCATTAACCTTCTTTATTGCCTTTAACTATTGTAACAACAATGTCGCAGTTATCGTACTCCATTCACATTATAATCCATTGCCAACTTAATAATTTTATACGATTGTACAGCTTGATGATAAATTCCTTGATAAGAGATCCCTCCACTGGACTTCATGTTCATAATATTCAAATAGGAATGATATGTCTACATTTACAATTTACTTTTGATATTATACAGTAAAGAACTGCCGGTCAAAAATACCATCTGGAAACTTTTATTCAGAAAAACTTCATAAAACAAACACAAACGTATTCATGTTTACAAACTTTTTTCTACTATCTACATCTAAAAACAATGAATGCACATATAATTACTTGACTAATCAAGTCAGTCAGCAACAACGTAGAACTTCGTACGCAAGTACATTAGTTCAAGTTGCCATACCATATTACCAGAGATACAATTATCCATTCAAATCCCATAGCGGTAGAGGTAATAAAAGTACAAACAGTAATCGTGAAGATTAGATTTCGAAGATGTTAGTCAAGGAGTATAATCCAGTGAAATAAATTTGGAAAGAGAACAAGGGACACCAAGAATTCAGAAGATTAGAATTTGGGAGAACACAAAGGGTGGATGCACCTGCACCATTTTGAGCCATATCATTCATGGTCTATAATCATCGGTCGCTATCGTCTCGCGGATCCCAATCAGACAGTCCTACACCTACCAACATGGCTCAGTTTACCTGTCAGTGACTTCATGGATTTGTGTCATGTTTTGATCTGGCCGCCCCTACCTTTCTTCGAACCTATTCCTACACCTCATCAAGGCAGTCGGTGCTTGAGCATAACGCATAACGTAACACATGTCTCAGCCATCTCAACTGACGAAGCTCCCTTGACTAATCAAAAGAAGAGAAACAAAACATGAAGAACACCTCATACACACATATACCTAAACACAAACTCAACCATTTATTTAACTTTAAAAGAATTATATACTGTTTGTCTATATATGCATATATTTTTTGGATATTATAGATTACATTCATTTTTTTTCTTATTTAACTAAAATGGTCCACATATATGTAAATGAAGTTAACACAATTTACCATATGTAAGAATATTCAAGAATCATCGGGAGAATAAACACTTTTTTTGAGAGAAAAAAAATTTTCCACTTGCTTTCTTTCTTCCTCTACGTAACCATGTCAAAATACAGAGCTAGTACACACATCAAATCAAAGAAAAGAAAAAAGAAAAAGAAGAGAAACAAATACAATTGCATATTGTCTTTTTTTCTTTAAAAAAAACGCAAAAAGAAACATATTGGATAGACAATTCTAGGAAAAGAGAAATGGAGGGTATAACAAAAAAAAGAGGGTAAGAGAAAAAAACACAAACAAACAAAGATGTAGAAGAAGATTTGATTACTGTGATGTGCGCAGTTTGTGTGATACTTTATGAAAATTAATGAGAAAGTATGCAGAACACATATACGAACTGTTCTAATAAGAAGCGAATAAAAACAAAACAAAATGAAAAGGCTTTTGACAAGTCTAAAAAGCAAAACTGTTGAATAGCAGCACACAAGTACATATAATGCAACAGTTTATGAAAACTGTGACAGCAAAAATATACTGATGAAAAATACATATTGACAGTCTCCTTTGTTTTTTAAAAAAAAACGCAAAGATTAGTGCATATCCTCTCTAGAAATGAAATAAGTACTACATAATGTCGATATTTAGGGTGAACAACCTGGGTCATTATCTTGACTGATTTGATTGAAGGAGTCGGTCAATAGCTGCGTTCACATCCCCAAATGTAGCGATCAATGCTGTAGAAAAAATAATATATAGATTGGTTAGTTAAAAATATGCTTACGGTTAAATGTTTTCAGGGCGTTAATTGTAAACTATGGTAAATGAGATAAACAACTACCCAACTGGAAATTATACTAACTGTGAAATAATAATATTATGCATGTCGAACAAAGTTTTTTTTATCTTATTTGAACACATGAACATTAGTAAAAGGAGGCACCAAATATGTATGCACCACATAAATCATTCGATTTATGTGAGAGCTAGGATACTGCCCGGGTACCCAAACCGAAGCACGTGGTCTTCTTAGGGGATCACACCCCGAGCCTTTGACCTAAAGGTCTACCTCACAAGGCGGTGGAGCAACGTCAGGAGATGCCGTTCCATGGTAGCTAGTGATCAACGTTAGGTTCATACGCCATTTGTTTCCTTAGGATCCTGGAGCCCATGTGCACCACTGATTTGGAATCAAGGTTTTCCAACAAATATTTTGAAACGGTACAGATCAAGATTACTGTATTAATGGTATAGCTTTCAACCAACCAGTAAAAAAATACTTTTACCTAGACCGAAGTATTCTATAATAAATTAGTAGGAAAAAAGTGAAGCACACAAAAATGCATATGCATATAAATCAACTTGATCGACCGACAAAGGGTAACAAAGAGTCATGATAAAAAAATGGCAGATTTATAAGAATAATTGGATAGTGATACTCAAATTTTTATGAGTTTAATCAACCTGCAGCTTGATGATTTAACCGTCTCACCAACGCCTACTTAACTGACTTTGAGCAGAATACTAAGATAGCGTCTCAAATGTAACAAGGGTAATTTTTAGACTAAAAAAAGGAAACTACGTACGTATATTATAAACCATGATAAGGAAGATCTAGTATTTACATATCGCAATATATTAAACGGTTATAAATGTCTAACCAAGAGGGTAGTAAGACAGAACTTTTATGCCTTATAAAATAAATTGATTTACAACTTTTTTTTATAAACCTACACATCGTTAATGAACAGTTTACAATTACCTTGCAAATTAGCTTCTCGGTTAACAAAGCCCATATTAGCGAGAACTTCAAGTTCAGCTTGATATCGTTGTTCAGGTGGCTACAAAATAAAAAATTAGCAACATGTTAAATAAGTGCTAGGTAAATTTTCTGGATGAATTCAAAAGAATAGAAAATTGTAAAAGTATATCTTACAGCATTGTTTGTGGCACCCAATCCATTATTAGTGGTAGACATCATATTCAGCATACTGGATAATAGTGTGGTCAATTCAGCTTGATTAGGTGGATTGGCTGTAGTATCATTAGTACGATCAGCTGTTGTGGAGTCAGAGTTGTCTCCAGGAGCTGGAACTGTTGCCGGGGTCTCTGCAGTTGGGGTTGTACCAGATGTAACTGAACCTGGACCAGTTGGAGGTGCAGACATACCTAAACTAGTTAACACACCTGGGGCTTCTTGTTGCAGTGTCTGAAGTCCTTGTTGGATCTGCATCATAGCCTTTGGAGAAAACAAAACAGTTTAAAAATCCATTTAGTTTGTATATGTTTAGAACCAAAAATACATGAGTCAAATCTGTAACAAAAAATAATGAGATTGAAGCTAAGTATATTCTTACAGAACCGATTAATCAACAGTTGACAGTTCATACTCCTAGACGCTTCAATGAACGTACGCTACAGAAGTTGGCAAGCCGTGAAAATCGATAAAGTCAAATGTCAATAGCTACTTATTAAATGTATCAAGCAACGTTTAGCTTATGGGACTTTGCATAGTAGCATACTCGTCGGTTTTTAAATCTTGAAACATTAATACACTTGAATCACTTCCCATTTAACGAGTCTAATATTTGGTTAGGAACGTTACAGATAGTAAATGTTTGTGTATTTACCAAAAATATTTCATCATGATCAAAAAATAGAAGTTCTGGCCAGTTGCTTAGTTACACTTCGGGGTCACTTAGGATCGCACATGGAATAGATATCAGAAAATATGTTAGGAAAAAAAGGGAAGGCTATATTTATCACATGGGTTAATTAGAGGAAATAAATATTAAAGGAAACTATATATTAGTCCTCAGAAATTTACAATGTATATTTTGAAAATATCTATTCTACAGAATTTCCTAATTGGTACAAAATAAAAACGTTAACCTTTCCAGTTAGGACTATCAACTGAACTATTCAGTATAAAATTCTAAGAATTAAAATTATGACATGTAATAATTTTATTACATTAATTCAACAGATAGATACTCAGTAAGAATACATGTTAAGGATCTATAATCAATTCAGACTACATTTTACTCGTGCATGAAGTTAGTATTTGAGTGTATATTCTTCAAACATGAAAATTACTAAGCATTTTTGTGTACGAATTGAGTTTAGTAATCAAACTATAAACTGCCTATTGATTCGATTGTTACAAGATGAAGTAGTAGGTGATGAAATATAAATGATGATATGACACAGAGCTGATCATAATTTAAAAGAGTGTAGTAAGGGCACTGATTTCATATTTATTCATTTAGTAATCTGTAAAGCTTATAGACGTGAGACAGTTATCCACATCTTCACTTAGATTAAGTTTAGGTAAACTTAAATTTGTTAAACATCCTTTTACTTTAATTCATGATTATGAGTAGACCATCCTTTAAATTTCAGTTTTGAAATGTTCCGAAATGAAAAGTCATATAACTAGGTATACGGTAAGTAAGCTCAATGTTATTGATTTAACTTATTAGACATTTTCAGTCAGTTAGATTGACATTTTACCCACAGAACAAGTCTATATCACATCTGGTTCATAAAATTTACCACTTTGATGGAGTAGAATGTGTAGTTCTTTAACCTATTCAGCATAAAAGGAAGAGAAAATGTTCACCATGTAAGAGTACCCTTATTAAGGACACCTTAATGTGTATGGTAAGGGTCAAGTATACATACATATTTATAAGACTATATTGCAGATAGAGATAAAATTCCCCAATTGTAATTAATCGGAATCTATGCAAGACAGACGCTACATAACGTACCCAACATTATAAAAAGGATAAATGGATAAAAAGTCAAATCATCAAAAAATTTGTACAAACATGTGGATAACTTATGAATAAATCAACTGATATCGAGATTACAACCAACTGGTATAAATATTGTGGAATACACATATAAAGGGAGATAATTGATAAGATAAACAACCGCTTTATCAGGGTATCTTCACTCATAAATACGTCACACAATATCAAAAAACCATAGTACAGTAACTTTTGGGTGTCTTAAAGAAAAGGTTTTACATGTGTCTGGAAAAAATTAGGTTGATAGAACTTAGCGAAACACATTTCAAATACTTAGCCAGCATATATCAGTGCTATGTTTTGTCCATATTAGGTCAAATATTTTTCAGGTGGCCACAATACGAAAATGATCCATTTATAAGTGCAATACCGTAATGATGTTTCCCCCCAGGATTTCTGAAGGGAAAAAGAAAAGAGGAAGACCAAAGAACACATTGTGTCGGGAATTGGAAGCAGAAATGAAATGAATGAGTAGTAACTGGAAAGGATTGCTCAGGACGGAGTTGGATGGAAAATGCTGGTGAGCGGCCTATGCTCCTCCACAAGGGGCAACAGGCGTAAGAAATGATTTTTCAATACAAGCATGATAAGAGGAAAGTGGCAAATAAACCTTAATTGACTAAAATGACTTATCAATAAATCTACATGTAAACATGCATTCCAACATTATTATTATCTGGAGAATTGATAAGCTATTTATTGAATTCTGAGTGAGAGTACAAACATGTTCGGACTATTTCAAAAAGTTTAGCTAAATGATATGGTGAGCCAATCAGAAGTGGCCAAACGAGAAGGTCAATCGATGACAAAAGCAACCTGAAGGACAAGTGCACATCACTGGTTAGAAAATGGATTGATCTAAGGGATAGAGATGTATATATAAATGAGTATTTGTGCACATTATTGGGTAGTTCAATATGCTTTCTCGTACGCTCTTGTGTTTTCGTTCAAGTAGTCAGGTGGGAATTTAGCATATAACATATCGTGTATCAATATCAGATCTCGGACGCCGCCCATAATAACTTATCAGTAGTTAATAGGCTTGGAATATTTTATAATCAAAGTCACTGTGATTTGAAATTTATCAGTTTACCTTCTGTTGTGCATAAGTAGCAGGTTATATATTTACGTAAAAAGTGACTTACAAACATTTTAATTTCAATAAATTATTAATTCCTTGAATCATAATAATAAAAAGCAAGATTATTGGTATTTTAAATAATAAAGTCTATGTCTTACTTGGAGAGCACGAGGATTTGATAACATGTTCATAAATGATGGTTGATTGATCTGGTTAGCTAATTGTGGGAGCATTTGTCGCATTTGATCACGTACATTTGGATTAACGCTAGAAATCATTGGATTATTCATGATTAGATTTTCCATAACTGAAGGGTTTGCACTCATTGCTTCAAGCATGGCTTGCACGTATGGGACCTGCTTAGTACAATAAACGTCAAAAAGTTATTCAGTTTTAGGATTACAAATAATTCAATGGTCGTTGTTTAATAACACGGGGAAGTTACTATTATTCACTGAATAACCGGCTACAAAATCTTGAACATTCGAGGACATTACAAGACTTTTGTTTATGAAGTGGTTCTGATAATCTTCGTCTTCCTAGTACATTATCGAGTTTTACGAAGTCGTTATTAAAATAATATTTTCTTGCATAATCAGTTTTAATTAATTATTTTGCATTTTATTTTTGTTGTACACTTTACGTACGTCATTTATAACCATTTTAGTGTAAAAAGATAAAAAATTTCTTGTTAAAGTTATAATTCTAATTAATCTTGAACATCGATCTCATATCACTAGGATTTTAGTCTACTGACAAAAAAACGAGACAGTAAACGTTACTGTCATTTATACCGTGATAAGTAAAATAAGTTAACTTATTAACCAACTACTTGATTATGAGCAATACTTTAAGTGAGAGAACTACTGATACTACTCGGTTACCTAAAATGAAGTAAGCGAAGAGGGATTCGAAACTGGAGTTTAGTGGCTGAAAGACAGACATCTCAACTATTAACTCACCATTTATAAGACCATTATTTCAATTTCGTTTGGTAAAATTCTTGTTAATTTCCCCTCGATATGATGTGATATAGTGACATGGGTCAATGTACTTTTATGTAAAGTCCTGAATTTCACCAATAATGGAATTATAACAATTTTTATTACTCAAAAAAGTACACTAGCCAAATCAAACTTTACAGTAAGTAGGTTAGGATTGAAAAGAAATTATAAAATTGGTGAATAAGACCAGGTCACTGGGGCAGATGAGACGATTGTATTTCTTACGTAACTTTACGATGGTCATACGTTTTAATCTCGAGAGCCTTAAGGAAGGCAGAAGTATGATGTTTCCACGGGAATCTCAAACATTTAATTCCCTTAATAAAATTTGCGCTTTTAACTCAAACATTAACGAAAATACGATTTAATTCCCATTGAATAACAATTACTACATATACACCCACCTGAAAAGCATTCGATACCAACTCAGGACTAGAAGATAGTTGGTTTAGCATAGTTTGCACAAAATCACTGTTACGATTTGAATTTGCCGAACTAGGTGCTGTTGTAGTATTGTTATTTATAGATGAGTTGTTTGTAGCTGGAGCCCAAGGATTCGGCATAGGTTCAGTGGCAGGAGCACCTTGTCGCACACCACCTAAATAATCCAGGAAAATATTTGAAATATAAAGAGTTTTTAACTAGTCATTTAACGAAGCATAACAGAAAGATACCAGTTGTTTATTAACTAAATTATGAAATTTCGATCGAGCGATCAACTGACTTACAGATAAAAACATAAAGCTATGCGAATGGATACATACCTGCTAAATTTGCGAAGGGATTTTGCTCCGAATTGCCATTTGACTGATTACCGCTTAAGCTGGAGCCAATGCTTGAGGCTGCATCCATTATTGGTTCTTGGATATCCCGAAATATCCGTTGCAAATGATTCATTCCTCCGGGTACCGATTCCAGATTGGAAATCGCTCGGTCATAGTTACGAACCATCTCCTGCATCATAGCCGGATTGCGGGCTATCTCCATGGACTGTCGAAGAAGATCTGGATTGTTAAGCATATGTCCTAATTCAGGATTGCGCTAAAAATAATGACGGTAGTATTAGTTCAACTGAATAAACGTTAAGAAATAGAAAATTAGTATTTTAAGACTATTGCCCTTTACTTACTTCAATCAAATCACGCATTTGAGGATTCGCTTGAAATAAACTTCTGATGACCTCTGGATTGCTCATCAAAGATTGAACAAGAGGACTGTCTAGCATGTTGCGAAGAAGTTCGGGATTCTGCATCACTTGAGCCTGCATAGCTTGTTGCATACCGGCGAAAGTGTTCACTATGAATACAAACGATGTTTTGTTAGTTTAAATCTATCTATGAATGATAAAGTTTAAAATATCTTACATCTTTAATTTTAATTTGCAGTCTATCTGAAAGTCAAAGATATTGTCATTAATATAAATGTACTACAAAAACGAATGAGAATTGAACTCAGCGATCAGGTTTTAATTTTACTGGCAGGTGTGATATGCAAAACGTGTCGTACGACCACTTATATTTGGTTAAAAAAAACCTTGTTTTTGGTATTGTTATCTATATATGTTGATCTAGGGGTTTACGTCAATGATTTGGCTTTGTGAGTTAACAATCAACGATATCGTACAACTGCGCGTCCATTGATCAGAATCATGTTCACCGTTTTAATAAACAAAAGTACGTTTGTAACATCAAATTTTCTCCTTAACCATAAACCAGCAAGTCCTAGCTGCTAACCGAGAGCGAGTCAAAACTTCCGATTACCACGTATCTGAGAGCGACTTCATCTGTGTTACTATTTACTAGCATTTGGCAGAGAAAAGGAGGAAAACACAATAGAGCAAACTACGGTAATGATTGTATGATTACAGCTAATTGATGGAGTTCGTTTCCGCTGTTTTTGTGCAAGCTTCAGGAAGAAAATATGTGCGCTGTGAACCACTGGGAAGAACAATCCAATCCTTATGTCATTACTTAGAAAACTATCGAACACCATCTATTCATCAGTCATTTGATTTTAATAAAATATACGAGAAACAGAAAATGGAGAATATCCTGATGAACGTGAGAAAAATAGGTTTACAAGCACAAACCTGAGTATAATGCAACAAATTAACGAAACGCGAATGTTGAAACTATCTCGAATAGACTGAGTAGACAAACGATACGTAAACATCCGTTTAGTGGAAAAAATGAGAGCTCATCTCTAGTCAGTCAAATAGCCTACATATCAGATTAATAACCAGTAACTTCATGGGTAAAAAGCTTTTACATAAGATATGGTTTGGAATAATTAGCCTTTGTGACACCCATTCAGATCATTAGTACAATACAATTGACGAACTTCGTTAGGACAAACACACAGGTCTAACCTTTTCTACAAAGGTTATCATACAAACATCCTTTTGAAAAAGCCTAGGAAGTAGTTGAAAAATTTTTTAAATCGCTATGTTTATTTATTTAAACACATAGATATTGGTACAACGAGGCACCAAATACATATGCGCCACATAAATCATTCGATAGGTGTGTGATACCGCCCGGGTGCCTAAACCGAAACAGATGGTTTTCTTAGGGGGCCACTCCCCGAGCCTTTGACCTAAAGGTCTGATCCACAAGGCAGTGGAGCATCGTGAGGAGATGAAGTCACATGGTAGCCGGTGACCAACGATTGGTTCCTACGCCATTTGTTCCCGCAGGATACTGGAGCCCATGTGCACCATTGGTTTGGAATGAGGGTTTTCCAACCCCCATAGGTAGACTCTCCGTGTCCACCAACCCGGTTTAGGCGCCGGACATTCGCTTTTGCTCTCAATTTCGTAAACAACACACTGGTGCGAGAAGGCAGTGAGTAGGACTTCCCTGGCAGAGGCTGTATACGCGTGATCATGTGAGCATTTCGAAAGAGTGGATGGACTCTCCCCACTCTCAGCCATACCAGGGCATTTGAGGGGCAATGTAGTTTGGTTTTAGGTGTGTTGATACATCAATACCGAAATGTGTTGTGGTAAAAAATCATTCTGAAACCGTCAAGGCGTCTATGGTGTGTTGTGCTCACGTTAGTCGAAGACTAGTCATGAATAAATAGATAAATATGCCCCTAACCGAAATTTTTAGTTTGTTGATCCATGTATCCTATAGTCTGAACCATCGTTTAACAGAAAGCCTCATCATGGATGAATATACGTTAGTATTGAAAAGCTCTCATAGAATTATGACCCGGTAAAATGTTGGAGTGTCTATTGATAGTGTGACTTTCTAACCACCAAATGCCCTGACATGGCCGAGAGTGCGGTGGGCCCGCCCTCCCTCTCAAAATGCTCTCACACAGCCACGCGTATACAGCCTCTGCCAGGGAAGTCCTACTCACTGCCTTCTCGTGGCGGGGGTGTTGTTTACGAAATTGAGAGGACGAGAAGCGAATGTTCGGCACTTTAACCGGATTCCAAACCAATGGTGCACATGGGCTCCAGTATCCTGCGGGAACAAATGGCGTAGGAACCAATCGTTGGTCACCGGCTACCATGTGACTGCATCTCCTCACGATGCTCCACTGCCTTATGGATCAGACCTTTAGGTCAAAGGCTCGGGGAGTGGCCCCCTAAGAAAACCATCTGTTTCGGTTTAGGCACCCGGGCGGTATCACACACCTATCGAATGATTTATGTGGCGCATATGTATTTGGTGCCTTGTACCAGTGTTAAAATAAATAAATAATAAAAATGGTAATTTGATGTAGGAAATGTTTTTGTTAACGAATCTGGTGAAAATGAACATAATAAGTTCTTGCCAGACATATGGTGTACATGTGATAACAAGACAAATAAGAACAAATGACTTTAGTCAGACTGTTATATATATATATATATATATATATATATATATATAAAAATTTAGTTACGATAGGAATGATACCGACCTACAATAAGAGTTTCGACCCACACTTGGTGTACTAGTTATATTTCTAATTTTGTTACACTTGCAAGAAATTCTGATGCACTTAACATTGAGGTTATAAATAACAAAAACACGTACATTGAAGAGACATGAGAGTGAGGAGTAATCATACAGCTACATGAACGGGTTATTTCTGAGAGAAAAATTGTTATCCCAGTATATGGGTAAGTCTGCTGCATGCGGAGTAAAGGTAGGTACTACTAGATTAAATATTCAGACAAGCGGACATGACACCAAAGAAAACTCGGTAAGATCAGAGTTGTATGAAACTTACCACCAGTAGCACCAGTTTGTGATGGATTACTTGGACTCCTACTTTCTGTTGGTCTATTGCCCACATCCGTTACAACTGAAGAGGTTCCTGTTGGGTTAACCTGGGAGGGCTATAATCTACTCAAACTTAGTTTTAATAAAACAAACCTGTTGTTGTTTCTGCAAGAATAAGTATTACCACAAATCGTGAACCTACCGAAATCACCAAATGGATAATAAACCCATCCTTGATTTTTAGCTGTTCAATAGTATCTTCATCTTTAAGAATCTTGCCTCCAAAAATCAGAATGAGTCTTTCTGATGGAGTCTCGAACGCTTTTGATGCTTCATCTCGAAGCTGCAATAAGATTAAGATACATTTATGGTAACGAAAGGACTACTTCTTTAACTGAACATGAACTAGGGACGGAAACTGTCTTCTCCCCTCGAGGAGCTTTGATTCGCAGACTGAAGTTTGACATCACTAATCTCCGGATTCAAGTGTAGCGCTGTCCAACACTCTCCATACAGTTATAACAATAATCGAATGAACTGTTGTTCTGTTGATGTTCTTTAGTGGTAGCATGAGTTGAAACTCTGAGATTCTATTCATTCGACCACAATAATTGAGAATTGTAGAAATTGTATCCATATAACGCAATTCTGAACGAAATCTTACAAATAGCTGGAGTGTTCTCATGATATTGGATAATGTTTTGAATGTGCTCTCCTGGTGGAAGTGAACACTGTGACTTCCTCAGTCAGTGCATCGTTTCAAAAAAAGCCCAAAGACAGAAGTTTTTAGACGACCTCTAGTCGTTCATCATAAGTGACTTTCATGTCAACGAACAGGGCACTCAACATGGTCGGAGCATTAAAAAGCTTGATTTGTTACTGTACTTTTCAAATCTCAGAGAATGACTATGAAGCAAATCCAATATTCTCTGAGATCTCACAAATACACTCTTCCTCTTTAATGTCTCCCATCAACACGGCGCCCAAATACTGTGGAACTGTTCGATCAAATTTAGAAGGAAGTTCTTATACTTCATTTGCTACTGTTTTTTAACGAAACTCTTCTTGGAGTTGCAGATGTGAAACATGTACATTACTAATAATAATCTTAAAACTGTCATTAACTCTTCACAAAGATCTTCGTCTGAACGGGAAAAATAGATTCACAAGAGTTGTATGCTGGGTTGTTGTAAAACATCGAACCTAAAATGAATCCAGCGTTTTATAGTAACATGTCGACCACAAAGTTTTCATAACCATAGTAAAAGAGCATTCTTTTCTTTGTGGCGTCTGTGGAGATAGATCTGACGAGCTTATCTTGTAAATAGTTTTTAATATTATTTGTATTTGTTTTGTCAATATTTCACTGTATGTACATTTATCATTAAATGACTGTACCTGTTGTTTAAGTAAAATGACCTTGAAGACTTTTTCCCTTGTAATTCTGACAGCGTGATATACTTTCGGTGGTTCGCAAATACACTACTACGCACATACCCATTGTTCTATTCTCGCTCGTTACCGAGTCAATTGCGTTCTAAACTGGATATTATCCTCATTTCAGACTGCTGTGTCATTTCCATTATACCCTACGTCAAAGAAACTTATTAGCGTCATATTTACCTCTGTGGAATTATTACGCATTTATAATTGTGGATTTATGGGACCAAAACTCAACAGAATACGCAACCACTAGCCGATTTAAGTAACGTCCCTGAACTTTTAATTTGTGTTGTTAATTTATAAATTATTATTGTTACATTAATTTTGGACGTAATAACTTTATCACTGATTTTTGGTTATTATACTTTTTGGTCCACCACACGTCTATATGACACGGCATAAAATCTGACTCAGTGTGTTTCCATGTTATTTTGCGTGTTATCTTGGTATTTATTGAAGTCGTTCAAAAACAAGCACTGAAGTTAGTAATCTCATACAAAATTTTATTTTTAAAGAGAAACGCTTATTTATCCGCATGGTAAGTTACTGCACTAAGAGGTAGAATGACACTATTATCAAGGAGATGATTCATTAAAGAATTTGAACCACAATACTGGTTTTGTGCTTACATTTATCTGCTGTTAAAGATTACTAACATTTTACGATTAAAATGTATTACAGCCAGTCATATTATCTGATGAAAATAGGCTGTCTGAAACTATTTTATTCTATCCTGTATCACATAATGACAAGAGGAACAAATGATAAATTTTTCGATGAAGACAACTGGGTTTATTTGTTTGTAGGATTATGGTTTTAGCTGGTTATTTGTATTGCTTTAATAATAGACTTAGTCCTAAAATTGTAGATATATCATGATGTATGTAATGGAGAGAAAAAGCACGTCGTTGGACAGTACTGTCATTTATTTGTTTCTTACCATTTTTACCTACTTCTTCTGTTGCATGTTGCCAGAATATTGGTAATAAGGTCGTGTTTCATATCAAGGGGAAAGGGAACGTTATAACCAAGCTGTGGTTGACAAGGTGATGCCGTTAGAGTCTGCGTCTGCTTCACTTGCAGTTGACACTCCTCCTCGAAAGGACTGGATCACAATGATATCTAAAGATTTAGACCTACCATAGAGAGAAATCATAAGGTTTGGTGGTGATCCAGTGAACTAATGAAGTTCCGTACGTAATCTAGAAGACTTTCGATGAGTCCGATCTAGGTTCAACTACTTGATTCAGTATATTAATAGTGAAGCTAAGGCTGCTATTATCCATTGCGCATTACCAACATGAAGCGTTGAAGTTTGAGTTCAGAAACACATCGTGGCCCATGTAATCATTGATAAGATGCTTAACATCAATTATACCTTTTGGGTTTGTGCCGCTATCAGTGTATAACGTAATGACACTGCAAATTAGAGAACAGTGGTTTATCGACTATTCCAATGACGCATAAAACCCGTACGACCAGTCTAGAGTCCTTATCGGTCCTTCTCCCTGCCTAGTCTTACTTGTTAAGTACAGAACATCAATCTCAGCCTCCACGATATGAATCATGTCTTTCAAACATACTAAGTTTATATACAAACCAACCAGAAAACTTAGCACCATAAAATATGAAATAACATTTTAACACGATTTAACCAAAAATGGCTGTGAATGTTGGAGATAGTAATTGCTAGACCAGATATAACTCAGGAACGGTAAATGGTATAATAATAGTTCATAGGTCAAAATAAAGCTCATAGTAAGAGGGAAATGAATATGAATAGTTTATTAACAACCTTACGATAAAAATATGTATATAGTATCAGTCCATAAATAGATTGCAAAAGTTCTCACTTAGTATTCTCATCGGGATACAACACCATCTCTGGTATTAGGGTGACTAATCCATATAATTTAAGAAGACTATCTCGCAAGATGCAGGTTCGTAAGCTAATGTACAGGCGGATGAACTATGTATGCGATTCTAATAATACAAAGTCCATCGACATTATATCTTTGAAACTTCCACTATATGTACAAAGATAATGAGTGAAAGTGACATGTAGAGTCCTTAAGATTGGTGGAAGGTCTTAATTTACAGACCTCTGTGAATTTGTGAAAGAGCAGTCGCATATTGATAATACCAGGTATGGATTGCTTGTCAATGGAGATTCCTTTAATCGTAACCATATGCAGTCGGGTGTTGTTACTAAAAGAAACCTTTATTAACATTGTAGGGCGAGATAGTCGTTTTCCAACACGAGTGGGTCTGACGTCACTTCCTTCGTAGGGCCAAACACTTAGGTTGTCATATTTATTATGTACTGTAAACCACCCCTAGACAAGTGTGAAAAGTTTAGGAACAAGGATATTAATTAAAGGACAGAGTTTGTACTGAAGAAGTTGTGTAATATCTGTCTGAAAGCGAACCATATGGCAAGTAACTGTCGAGCAACGGGGCCATGGTCCGTCGAAGGATGTGACTGGGGACACCATACCTTGTTACACTGTAGGAGGGAAGAGCAGAAAACGTGAGTAGTTATGCCCATAATAATATCCAACTATATACGGAGGAAAGTACTAAGCGTATACAGAGACAGGTGGTATTCACAATAATTCATTTATTAGTAAAAAAAAATAGAAAAAGGGAGGCACAGACTTGTTCTTTCCTCAATAGTGGCTCAGACGCTTCTCTTATTGCGGAAGATCTAGCTATAGGCCTGAATCTAGAGGGAGAGACAAGATGCTTTTATTGAAAACGCTAGATAGCCGATCCACACTTCACTGTAAAGAGGTTCAACTAGAAGTTTCCTCCTTAGATTCTTCATCACTCAGAATTCAGAAGGTATGAACGGTCGAGGGATTACCTATGCTACGTAGGACGGTGCCAACGACATCACAGATGACACTGTGGTTTCACTTGCGCTGTGCGACCCTCCCAAACGTTGACAACGAATGCGTCGAAGTACTGATGGGGTGCAATGCGCCCGACACACATGAAATAAAAGAGAGGAGTGTGGTAAAATCTAGCAAACCGCACGCTTTAAGAACTCCTTTAGGGTCGGCGGTGTATGTACCTTGCAGAGAGATCACAAAAGACACGGGTATAATAAATTATCTATAGTCTAAATATGAACGGAAAGCTAGATTAGGCCAGTCATACAAGATGGAATTTCAAGTAGACCAGAATCACTGTGTGTCCATGTCGGTTAAAGAACGTAAGGCCAAGTATGCTATATCCAAATCTATACAGTTAGTGAACAGGTAGTACCAAATAGCTTTATCCTGGTGTCACCAACAAAGCCTACCTGATAATAGAGCACTATCGACGAGTAGATTAAATTCCTTGAGAAACCGGCCTATCCATGACCAGAGAGAACATAAGAAATATGTTAATATGATGGTACAGTACGCTGAACGAGACTACGCCGAAATGGATATAGAGAATCACTATATTCTCAGATGAAGGAAATGCTACGTCTGAGGGGTTTAATCTGACCAAGTCGGCCTGCAAGAATTTTGGATCAGTGAAGTTTGTTACAGAGGAAGATTTCATAGAAAGAAATATAGGTATTTGTTTATCTATGGAAAGAAACGAAAGAACTCTATGAATTGAGTGGAATCTTCTTCTGAGGGTACAGCTTCGATGCGACGCTCACAGAGAACCATTTTGTCGTATGTAGCTTCTACATCCGAACTACTTGGGTTTATAGCCTCAGTCATTTTACTGGGACTGTTGGCTCAGATATATGAGGTGCCTAAGCGAACTGTTACCTTCCACATGTTTCGTACCGGAATAGTAAAAACCTCTAGCTACTCAGATTTATTGCTTTGCTGATGTCTCAGAATCCACATAGTATTGAGGCGTATGCTCTTCTTGAAGATTTCTCCCGTCAAGTTTATTGTTTTCTTCTATTAGCTAAGCCAAGGCTGCCCCAGTAAAACCTTTAATCATTTATCAAACGGAATTAACAGTTTCTGTACTGTGTGCTACATTCGGAAAACACGTGGAACAACGACCGCGTATTCCTCTCTCTCATATCACTTA